CACCCTCTGAGTTGAAACCAGAAATGTCTTTAGCTATTGCTAGATGTTGCTTGGGAGTTGGAGCAGGGGTGTTTATAGTAATTCAGAATCACCGCACTAGACTCTGGTTAGCAGATACATACTACTGCTATTTCATGTCCTATGGAAGATATGTTTGATTTATATTTCTTTCCAAGTAACCCAAGTCATGCCTCTTAACATATCCTCTATCAATCAAGATGAATTGATATACAAGGTAAATCCTATTTATCATCTATAGAATAGAAAGCAGGATTTATGATAAGGTACAAGTAGTAGTCTATAATTTAGCTCAAGTATTTAGAAGACCAATCATAGAAAATTTTAGCAGTAGTAATTGCTGCACCTACTACTGTTTACAGAAGTAATCTAGGTACAGGTATCCTGTGTTGTTCCGGTTGGGCTACTTTTTTTTTTTTTGCCTGTCACAGACTTAATGATTTACTAAGGTTTTGTGATGTCAGCTCACTGCATATTTATAGATTTGTTTGCTGTGCTCTTTCTGGGTTCCATTTAGTATAAACTGTTCTCATGCTGATCCTGGTTATCATGACTTTCCCAGAAGTATATTCTTTGGACATAAACATAGTGTTTCCAAAGATGAGTTTAGTCTTAAGGGACAAGATAACGCAATTAGAAAATAGCTGTGAGTCTTGAACTAGTATGTATTGGTTTCATTTGAAAGTTTACTTTGTTGCTGTTCATAAATATTCATCATAAATGACACTTTAGAGCCTCTACGTGGAAAAACACTTTGTCAGGAAGAAGGTGAGCCAGATTTAGTGAAGAATGACCAAATCTGTGGTCAGTAGTTCTTCCTCAGGGAAGTCTGACAGGATTTTAAAAGTTTATATTTCTGTCCTCTTCAGTTCATTGCACAGCTACAAGAGAATTTGCAACACCCTCAGGCTTCTGTGGAATTATCCCCAGTGCTGTCTCTTGTGCTGAGGTTCCAGGGGTTCCAATGCTCATCATTTAACCCCTTTAATGTGCATAGCAGAGACAGATCTTGCCTGTTGTGGTCCTAGTAACAATGAACATTATGTGGCCTTGAATTCTTTTTAAGGCTCCTACATGTGAGGAGAGGGGGAGGGGATAGAAATGATGGAAGTACAGTGTACCCATTTGTGAACTTTAAACAAGAAAGCACCCTAGTTTTTCCCCAGAAACAGCTGAAATGGGGGCAAGGAGCAGGAAATGTGCTCATAATACAGGAGGGTTAGTGCTAGGTGAGCCAAGCTTTGCCTCCAGCCTCAAGCTTAGTGTATTCCTTTTCAAAGCAGATCCAAACAAAAAACCTTGTTTTCTTCTCTGAAGTTTTCCTCATTTTCATCTGTTTAAAAAAATCAATCCAGTTTTCTCTGGCTTTTCCTTCTCTTTCCTTTTTGGGCCTGTGGAATAGAATTTATAGATGTTAGGGTTTTTTTGTTGTTATTACTAAAGTAGAGGCAAAACAAGTTCATAGGAAAAGTCGAGGGCTTTGTTTGGTTGTCTTTGTGACATCATTCATTGGTCTGTTGAGCAGTACACAGTCATTGTTCTTACCTCTAACAAACCTTGAAGCTTGCTTATGTTTTAGCAGGAAAAGACTGACATATGCAGTTGCCTTTGGGATCATACATGATTTTCATTTCAAGTAGCCCATGTATTGTAATGACAATGCTTGAATAATAAAAAGTATTTATCTCTGTGGTGGAAACAACGACAGTAAGAATGTTTTTGCATTATTTAATCTACATTCTACTTAATTTATATTATCAAAAGTGCTTCTAACTCTAGTTCTATGGTATCTGTTGTCTTTATTTGGCCTCTGCCAGCAGACACACACACACACACGCACACACAAAGTAAAATAAAACAACATAAAATGAAATACCAGATTTGCTTGTATCTTGAGTGGTATTCTCTTCATATATTCTTTCTATAAAGAATGATTTAGTACCTATCATGTGCTATCTATAATAAATGCAGGCACAGAGTACAAAAGATTAAACAGAAAATACCAGTCCTGGCTTTCACAGAACTTTTAGTTCAATTGTGGGTCCAAAGAGTTAAGTGCATAGTGTTGAAACTTGCAGTGGATGAATGCTGTGATTTGAATGCCTGAAGCTATGATAGGAAGGTCAGACATAGGAAATGATGGGTCTCCCTTGAGCCTAGTGGATTAGTAAGTTTCCTGAAGAGAGTAACTGCTAAGCTACTCCTGAAATCTGAACCAGACAGGTGTGGGGTGTCAATTGTCCTTTTAAAGTCTTTCAATAAGATTGTTTCTTTTAACTGTGTCCTATAAGTTAAGAGATCTGACTTTTTTCATGCAGTATATTTTTGTATATACAGTCCCATTTATCATGTTAGATTTATGACCATCTTTATGTGAATTGTATATGGTGTAAATTTTTTCAAATATTGAATATGATTAACAAGAAATACATGGATGTTCTAGATATTCATTATCCAATAAAATTGAGTATTTAATATTTATAATCTTAATATTTCAAACAAAAATACAAATATTAGATTCTTTCCATCTTCCTTCAATCTTTTATTTGTAGACTACAGCTTTGAACCAAGTCTGATTACTTTATAAGACATTGTCAGGCTAAAGCGGAGTGCTTTCCTAGCATGCGCAGGACTCTGACTTGGACTGACAGCACTCAGGAATTGTTGTATAGCGGATGTTTGATAGGTTATTCTAAGTAGCATAAGGACACTTAGATTTATACCTTGTGCTAAGGCTATTGTAACAATTTAAACAGGATTCCTCTACAGATAACTTCTGTGTTTGGTGACACTTTAGCCTATATTGAATAAATGAGTCCAATTCACATGTAATTAGCTGTTCTTAACCTGTTCTTAATACTAACCAATATATACTCTTGTCTTTGGGTTTTGTTTTGTCTTTTGTGTGTTTTGTTTTACTTTTAAAACATGTTTGATGCTGGTTTTATTTTTGAGTAAATTTGATTGTCTTTGTTGATGTCTTAGTAACAGAATTACTTTAATCTCTGTAGTTTCTCTTAGTATTGAGTTCTGTAGCATCTCTTCAGTCATTCTTGCTCAGCAACTACTATTTCAAGATTTTCAATCAGGTTTATAATATACAGAGGACTTGTCACAAATATTTATGCCTCAAAGATGAGTTTCTGAGGAAGAAAAGATGGGCAAAAACACTTTTCCTATCCTGTGTGTGAATGTGCATGTGCGTGCGTGTGTGTTGATGTATATGAGTGAGGGCGTGTCCATGCATAGTGCACCGATGGATGTCAGAGGACAACCTCAGGTGTCTTAGGCAGGGTATGATTATTGTGATAAAACACCATGACCAAAAGAAACTCGGGGAAGAACGGGTTTATTTTGCATATGCCTCACTGTTATAGTCAATCATTGAAAGAAGCCAGGGCAAGAACTCAAATGGGGCGGGAACCTGGAGGTAAAACTGATGCAGAAGCCATGGAAAAGTGTTGCTTACTGGCTCCTTCCACTCCTCCTAGACTGGCTCTATGCCTGGTCTGCCTTCTTTTAGAAGCTCAGAGGTAGCCCCACCCACAGTGGGCTGAGCCTTCCCCCATCAATCACTAATTAAGAAAATGCCCAACAGGTTTGCCTAGAGCCCAGTTTTAAAATTTTATTTTATTTCACCTATTCACTTTACATCCCACTACTGCCTCCCTCCTGGTCACCCCTCCCACAATCCTTCCCCCATTCCCTCTCCTTCTCCTTTGAGCAGATGAGGGGTTGGGTATCTCTTCACCTTGGCACATCAAGTCTTTGAGGCTGGGTGCATTCTTTCCCACTGAGGCCAGACAAGACAGCCCAGCTGGAAGAACATATCCCACATACAGGCAACAGCTTTTAGGATAGCTCCTGTCCAGTTGTTCTGTACCCAACCAAGGCCAAGCTGCACATCTGCTACACATGTTCAGGGAGGCCTAGGTCCAGCCTGTGTGTGTTCTTTGATGGGAAGAAAGAGGGGAGGGGATTGTTAACTAGTTTTCATTTACCTGGACCTCTGCTTGCTAATTAATCTTATTGCAGCTTGGCAGATACAGAAAGAAGTCAGGTCTGCTTTATAATATAAATAATACATTTGCTTCATTGTAAGCCTGCCATCCTTTCACTTTATCTGTCTTCTATCTCTGAAATATTTAAAACAAAACTATTTGGAGAAACTTCAAAGGCAGATTGGAGGTTTATGAAACTGCCCTCTTGACTTTCTCTGTGTTTCAGTTTTGGGCTGTGCTTTCTACTCTGTCATTTTAAGTTATCAAGTCTCCATGGGTGACATTGCTTTATGTGAGAGGCACTTATGTTTGATAGTATACCCTGCACCCTGTCATGCCGTTATATCTAACTTCTGATAATGCTATTATAGTAATATAATAGTCCACTAATATTTTTTTCTCTTTTAGCATTTTTGATTGTGTCCATGTATTTGATTCTTGTTTTGCTTATCAGTGTAAGTAATTATTTAATGAGCAACTTTGAAGACTTGAGTTGTCACTCTTTGGAAGTTATTTGAAGACTAATGAAGTTAATACTAGATTGTAAGATTTAATGTTTTTAGATAGTTGGAATGCCAGGAATATGTTTGGGTGCATGCTGATCTTTGGTGTGAAAACAAATTAGTTAAAATAGTTTGGGATGGAAGCTGATGTATTTCTGTGGAGTATAAATATTCTACATGTGGATTAGTAACAAGAAGTTGTTCCAGCTTAAACTTAGATATTTAAATTTTCAATATGGGAGGAGAAATAGTCTTATGTTCAAATTTTCTGCAGATCAGAAATTGTTTTTATTCTTGACTCTGCAGATACATGTTAGAAGAATCTCAAAAATCTAGAAATACCATACAAAATTATGGTGTAGGTATGTTTGTCAGTCTAAAAGGGGCCTCCTGACTCTTTACCAAATCACCCAATTATTTATGATAACAACAAAAAGATTTTGCCAGTTTTAAATAATGTGTAACTGTTTAATGAAAGGAAATGGTGGATGAGGTGTGGAGGTGAGATTCTCATGCCATCCCTTTTCCTTTTCCCCAGCCCAGAGCTTTTTTGATTATTAAACTTCTGATCTAAGATTACTTTTTTAGCATTTTCATTTATGTTTATAGTAAACTTTAGACATCTTCCTGTACTACACTTTTTTCCACATTTTTTTTTTAAGTTCCAGCAGAATGCTGAGAATGGCATTGAGAATGTTATACATTCTTAGTACTGATTCCATAAGCAGTAATAGTCTTTCCCATAAAAAGAAACAGCAGATTTTATGAAATACACTGCAGTGATCATTCTCTATTAGGTCTATTGCCATGGTCTTCTAAATTAAAATTTATAAGGGGAAAGAAACATCTCTGATGCAATTTTATCTTAAATTTTAATTTTAAAGTGTCAATACTTGGGGATAGGTATAAAACTTTTGAAGATTTTTTTAAAATGAGTTAGCACATGCTTGCTTAATATTGGTTGTAAATTATGCAGAAAAAAAAAATGTCTTAAGGGTACAAATAAAGACCCAAACTGGGCATTGAGGTCCTGAACTTGTTCTACAGTGGCTTACCACAGGCAATTTAAGCATCAGGGATTTTTGTATAAGGAAGTTTTTCTATAACTCTAAATACCCATCCATTGTCTCGGCAATTAGACCAGTCTGTAATTTTACCTAATTCTTTTCTGTGCCCTGTAAAAGAGAAAGAGAAGAGGGAATCAGGGAAGTTGAAGATCTGTACTGTCACCACAATAAAATCTGTTCCTTCAACAGCCCCTTGTGTTAGATTTCTAAGGTGTAGAGAGATGTTGATCTTCTGTTTTATGCTGTTACACACACACACACACACACACACACACACACACACACACACACACCTCTTTCCTCAGGGCAGGAACTCTAATATAATACATCCTCTTTCTAAAGTTAAGCTTATATGAACTACTTGCCCTAATATCCTTGGAAGTTCACTCCACTCCACCATATTCCTGTAAATCACTGCATGCAGCAGACATTGACAAGTCTTCTTAGACCTTTGTCTTCTAGCCTAGATCACAGTCATATCTTATAACATTGAAACATTCTGAAGGCTTGGTGTAGTAGTTTTAACTGCAACATCTTTGTACCCCTGACAATGTAGTTTTCAAGTTAAAGGACATTCTGATGTTCCCCTACCCCAAGCCCCCATATTATTTTATTTTAAAATATGGTGTTTAATCCAAGCAGCCTACTATTCATGGCAGTTACCAATTTTTGTTTTGATCTTATTATTATAATATATAATTGCCTCCCTCTTCTGAATTCCTGTAAGTGTTGGCTAAAGTTTCCTAAGAACTGCACTGTAATTAAACCTGTTTCTGATTGATAGAAAAATATATCATTCTTTCTTTCTGCCTTTTCCCATTAATACACGGGGATTTAAACCTCTTATCTGGTTCTGCAGAATGATTTCAAGAAATGTTGATAGTAAAAAGTAGCAAGGGGTGATACATGAGCTACCTGAGGTTCTGGGAATCAAGAGACTATTGGATGTTTTCTCACATTTAGTTTTGGAATATTGATGTAAACTTTGCAACATGTTAGTGATACAGTGTGAAAATCCTTGTAATTAGTAAAGGTGGTGCTGGTAGGAGTTTCTAAATCAGCATACAACTGATAAGAATATAATGTTTTCTGGAATGTCTCTATTACTTTCCTTCCCAGAATCATTTATTAAGTGCTTAATATTCAAAATATCAGTTCCTACATTTAGAATATTCTGCAAAAGTGTTATACTGCCTTGGTTGAAATGAATAATGTAGTGAAATTAGTGCCATGTGCTCTATTTGTACACAGAGATGTCCATATTATAAAACTAGAGCATGGGAAGTGTCTTCCCTGTTGGTTCTTCAGCATTTACTGTATGTATGCAGATAGCTGATCTGCTGAGAATTGGCTCTTTGGCAGTGAAAAGGAGAATAGACCCCAGCTTTCATAGAGCACATACTGCTGGCAGACAGATAAATCATAAGGATATAAGCAGAAGAGTAGGACACATGACACATGACAACAGGAAGAGAAAGATGGAGCAGGCCCTAAGCAAAGACTGAGAGGTAACTTAACTTGTATTTTTGCTTTCTCCTTTTGTTTATGAGACAGAATCTCAGTATGTAGCCCAGACTGGTCTCCATTCTGTCCTCCTAAGTGCTGTCATGTGATCACGTGGGCACACTACAACTCTTAGTTTTTTAAAACTACTGAAATTACCATCACCCATATATCCTCACCCACCAAGTCTTACCCTTCCCCTATTTCTGTGCCAAGTTATGTTATCAATGGGAACAACTTTTTTTTCACACTGTGTGCTTTGAAACTTTGGAAGTACAAACAATAATTAACACGAACCTAGATACATAGAACTTTGAATTTAATTTTTATTTCAAAGACTAATATAGGATGGTTACAGAAATAGCAGAAGATACATGCAAAAAGAACATTTAAAAATAAACTTCCAAATCTTTTTAAATGTAGATGGATTTTCATTTTGTGTTGGTTTTTAAATTTTTTTTATAAAGAAAAAATTTCAGTAGATACTTAATATCTTATGTTTCTCTTTAAAATGTATTTAATGATTTAATCCTTTAAATCATTTTGGGGTTTTTAACTTTTTGAAATTAAAAATAGCTCTATCTTAAATATCTTTCTTAAGAAATCTTTGAGCATGTCTTTAATTATTTTCTTGGGCAAGGTTCCCAGAAGAAAAATTTCTGGGCATGATTACTTTAAAACTTTCGAATGGTGCTGCCAAATGGGGTACAGGTGAGAAAAATCATATTAGTATCAGTAAGCAGCAATACTAAGTTCCACATGACTAAAATAATTCGAGCTGTATCGAATTCAGAGGAAAAAGATCCCTATTGATAGACCAGCTGTGTATCTCTCAGGGAAGATGATAAAGGGGAGATGAGTCTTCTATGCAAGATGCAAGAGCTACGAGGAGATGCCTTACTCCCATTAGCAACACAGACGTGGGTGTCATCCCATCTCTTGTTCCTCTTGAATTTAATGCAGAAGCTGTTTTTGTTGTGAGAGAGACAGTTATAATTATCTGAAAATAATTTAAATGTTGAAGTCAGAAAATCAAAACTATAGAAAAAAATAAGTTCAGCTTCTAGGAGATTTTTTAGTTTGGGGTTCAGAGAATTTAGGAAGTAAGAAACTATGCCCCTCTTAAAAAATCAGCTTTTAACATAATAACATTTACTATTTCACATCCCATTTTTCTCTTTCCTTCATTGTTTACCAGAAAATAATTGACTCAGATCTTTGCTTTAGATACTGTGACATGGTTTTGGATTACTCTTTTCAGTAAAGTTTCAGTCATTGAATTTTCCTCTTGCTATCTATTCATATTACATCTTAAAAATGTTTTCACCTGTACTTAGTTATATGATTTATTTCTTTAAATACACAATAATGAAATATCTATGGTTTAGATTATTAAAAGATTATTATCTCTGAATTTTTGACTTGGATAGTAGGGGGACTTTTGGTGCTGTTAAGCTTTGCTTTGCTTTTTAAGATGGTGCTTTGTCAATCTGTATGTTGTTGTTGTTGAGTTACTGTAATGTGGCCCTTTCTGATACTGAGTTCACACATCTGAAGATTGAAAAGAGCTTAGCACTTTAGGTCCTATAGGAGTGATGATAGAAAGATACAATGTGGAACTCAAACTCAGATAATCTACACCCTGAAGGCTCTACCTACCTGTCAGCTGTGTGCCACTTTACCCCCTCAGTTCATTGGGGTTCACTCACTTTATGAAGGAAGCTCATAATTATGAATTTGTATTTTTGAGTAAAATTACAAAATTTAAAATTAAAATTACATTTTCTTTTTTCTGGCCTCAGTATCTTCAGAATGTTCTCCTATCTACTTGCTAAATGTTACTGATGATGTGTTGCTGGGTTAAGCTGTGGTGTTTTGTTTTTCTTGTTGCTGTGACTAAATATGGGGACAAGAAGCAACTTAAAGGAAGAATGGTTTGCTTTATTAGCTTAGGTTCTAAGGAACACAGTCAATTATGGCTGGGACAAGATGGCAGCAGGATCATTGGATGCTGGTCACATTGCATCTGTAGTTAAGAAGCAGAGAGATGTAGGAATACCGATGTCCAGAGATTTTCACAGTTGTAGTCAGTCCAGGACCCCAATCCATGGGATGTTACAGTTGGTGTTTAGGGTGGGTCCTCCCATCTCACTCAGCCCAAACTAGAGGCTTGTAGATATGCCTATGTGTTTTGTCTTATAGATGAGTCTAGGTCTGTCAACTTGATGTCATTATTAATCATCATCACTACTATAAGCTACGTGATAGAACTCTTGGTCACAAACTATAGTTCTAGAATTTGTAAAAAATAAGAATCAAGAAATTAATTAAACATGGCTTATTTGAGTCTGCTAACCGTAAGGATTTCCCAGTCCCTCCTTAGATCCAGTAGCTCTCATAGGTACCAGTTGTTCAGAGGACAGAAACAATCGGCTTAATGCAGCAGGGTGTGAAACAGCTGAGTGCTTCTACCACTGTGGCATTGGAAAGAGGCTTTTTTTGATGGAACCGGATCATTGCTTTCCTGGTATTTTTCCTGGGGCTTAAATTGTGGCAGTTATCTGTAAAATTCCCATTCTATTACCAGATGATTCGTTATTCATAACACTACTTACTTGCTTTCTATAGAAAGTAGTCATAAAATGCCTTCCTAAAATTTCAGTTGCTAATTTTCTTTCGGGGGAAACATCTGAAGCTGCTGTTTTCTGCAGAGAATATAATATGCAAGAGCACATTAACAGAGGAAGATTCATTAACAGAGAGCCTGCTAATTAAGCTTTCTGTGAGCCTCTCCAAGGTGTACTTGATGTGCAAGACGGACAAAACCTGTGTCATTTTCCCCAAATATTTATGACACTCTACCCAGTGGGTTTGGGACAGAATTAGCCACACTCCTAAGCACTTTAGGACCGAATATCTTTTTTTAAAAGCTTAAAAAAAAAAGGTTTCTGACTGAATTCCTTTTGAAAAGTCGTTCATGTTCATTGTTCCAGGCGCCTTCTCAAAATTCAGCAGTTTGTGGCTTTGAATAACCACACCATGTCATCTAGTTGCCTTTCCTCTACTGGTGAAAGGAAACGGCTGAGTCAGAGCACTTGGACACTTCTGGGAAGTAAATGAGAGAATTAACTATAGTTTTGCTTCCAGCTGGTTATAAGTGGATATGCTGATTAGGCATCTTCACTTTTATATCAGGCTGTCTTCTCAACAGTAATAGAGTCCATTCAAACTTGAACAATTTGTTCTTTTTGGATACATCATATGGTTGGAAAAATAATGTAATATTGATGTGGCTTTTTTGCTGATTATTATATACAGCTAGTGTGAGAATTTTTGAATGGGTGTAATTTTTAGGCAGAAAGCAAGTTATTGTGTAAAGAGCTGCTGTGTTTTTATTTATCTGGCTACATTTAATTCTTGGAACAATTCTAAGTAAATAATTTAACTTCAGAGTTTAGGTGTTTGCTTACTGTTTCTCTCCTCTCTCCCTCTTCATTCTTCTTTTACTCCTGTTTTCCCCTTCTCCTCTCTATCATCCCTTCCTCTCTCTCCCCTGTCATCATGGGTTCACATAAATTTTAGGAATCTTTTCCTAGTTCCATGTAAATTTTTGGATTGCTTTTCTCACTTTTGTACAGAAGGACATTGATACTTTGGTAGAGATTGTGTTGACTCTGGAAGTCACTGTTGACATTTTTAACAATGTTAATTCTTATAGTCTATGAATATAAAATGTATTTTTTCTTTTTTGTTTCCTCTTTAAAATGTTTTAAATATTTAAATGTTTAAAATTGTTGCTCTCCTTCACCTAGGTATTAGTCTTAGATGTTTTATTTTTATAGTTACTATAAATAGGATAGCTTTGTTCAGTAGAGTAATGTTATTGATTTTTGTATGTTGATTTTTACATTCTGCATCTTTGCTGAATTTACTGATTAATTACAATATTTTGTAGTTATTTGAAAGGTTTCCTGTATAAAATATCTAGTTTTATTTTGTTTATCCTCTGTCTCTCTGTCTCTATCTGTCTCTCCCTCCCCCCATACACACACACACACACTCATACACACTCATACACTCACACACACACACCGTGTGTCTTGGTACTTAAGGGAATCACTCTGTTACTATTTTTTTTTTTATTTCCTGTTATTGTTTGGCATTTGTCAGTTACCGATGTCTGCCTTGTGGTTACTGTGACGTTTGACTATATTGAACTCTTTTGAAATTATAACTGACTTCTTTAGTTCTGTTCTGATCAGTTAGTTAGCTGTTCAACTTGATGTGTGTGTGTCAGGGGAGATTGTTGGCCATTCTTACTCAGCTGCTGTCTTGTTTCATGCCCTCCAGTTGAGCCATCTTGAATATGCTATGTCAAAATGTTTTGAAGATATTTTAAAATACATTTATTGATTCATGAGTATTCATGGCCACTTGTAGAAGTCAGAAAATATTTCTGCCATGTGAGTTCTCAGGATTGAACTCAGGTAACTCTCTCACCTGCCCTGTTTTTGGTTTTTATTTAATGCATTTAGTGATTTTTCCCCCTTCTTAGAAATTAGTTCTACTTTAGTGGCCAATGTGCAGGATGTATGCAGACTTAATCAACAGTACTTAGTTTCTGAAGACTGTATGTGCACTTTAGGCCCATATTTTTAAAGAAGGAAACTTTGGAACTTTTTGACATTTTAGGCTCTTTATCGTAACATAATTCAGTTAATATTAGAATTAGGGCATGATACAGTTATCTGTATCTATAACCTACATAACCTGCTACTAAAGGGTAGCTTAACCTTAAATAAAGATAATTTGATATATTAAGATACCTAAGGGACTTCTCAGTGTTTTCAGATTATAGATAATATATCCAGAGCTTCCTATTAATTATTATATTAAATGTCACTATTTATACAGTACCCCTCGCATGCCTGGTATTGTGGTTTCTTTCTGTCTTAAAAAATGTCATTTTAGCAACTACATTTGGATTTTTCTGTCCCATTATAAATGTTTGACTTCACGCTAATGAGTTAATTATTTATAAAATGTATCATTGGATTTGTTCCCACCAGTGACACCAAGAAGAAGCAGGAAATGAGGAAGAGGAACAGCATTGAAGTCGATGATGGAAGACCAAGAAGTCGTCATGGAAAGAAGGCCAAGTGGGAAACATTAGAACCTTTGGATACAGGCCTGTCTTTAGCAGAGGATGAAGAGCTGGTGTTACATCTCCTCAAAAGTCAAAACTAAACATCCTCTGTGCCTTTTTGTACTTTGATACCTATGGACATTACTATGTGGGCAAGAAGTTGAAAATAGCTTTGTGTTTTGAAATATCAGGGAACATACTAAGCATAAGTATGTAGTGTATACTGTTAGAATTCATGTGTAGACTCTCATTTCCCACCGCCGGAAATGCTTGTTTTGTTTGTTTTCACAGTGCTGAAGATTAAACCAAGGCCTCACACATGGTAGATAAATGCTCTACTCCTGAGCTGGGTACCTAGTCCCTGTTTGTTTTACAGGCAAGGTTCTGGATCCATTGTTCGTTTGTTCTTGTTAAGTATACATAATAATTTTATGTATATTTCATTATACAGTGGACTAGCCCTGACAAAGAATGTGTATTTTTTAATCGAGTTCATAAAAAATAAACATGTTTCTTATAAAGTACTGTTGTTTTCATTGTGTCCAGTGATATGAAAGACACTCAAAGATAGAGTCATAAAATTAAAACATGACAAATTCCTAAAACAAGTGTTTTGTACTGTTAATTAGCCTGCTCAAAAGTAACATATTACACTTACACTTGGAGATTGCTGGGAATTATTTATAAAATCTCTAGACATATGAAGACATTCTTCATGTGCTTTTTAATAGGTAGTGCTTTATGAGAAAATGAGATAGAACCTCTGTTTTGTTACCAGTACTGTCTTCAAAAAGAAAACATGGAGAAGTCTGGGTATTGACATGAGATGATTGATTTTAGTGTAGAATATCACTCTCATGATTCTTTTCCTAGCCCCATCTTCCTATCCCATTCACTACCAAAACTAACTTTCAGTAATAGCAATAAATTCAAGAAGATGGTTGGTAACGCATTTGGGTATCTCAGCACTTCCAGTTCAGCCAGTCTGTACTGGTGTCTGAAATAACGTATCATCTTCCTTGTGTATTGAGTGCTCTCATGAGTGATCATATTTTCACAATTAAAATGACTGCCAGCTTTTTGTGTTCACACGGTACTGCTGCTGTTGATTCCTCCTCTTTAGAGAGCCATTGCTTATTCTAAGAGCTTCAGCCTTTACCCAGTTTAGAGTCTCATCGGGACTTGCCCAGACCCCTGAGGTTCTTAACTAGTCACTCTGCTTCTACCAGCACATTTTCCAATCTACCTTTCCTGGAGTTCTCTCTGTGGCCTGTAGATCTGAGCATGTTCCCCTCCTCTGATTCCTCTGGTTACAGCATCTATCATGTGGTACAATCAACCTTTGTCTATAAACCTGTCAGTATATTACGACATTTTCCTTGGGAACAGTATTGTGGTTTTTATCCATCCTTTATACTTGTGGTAGTTTGACCTAAGGGGTGGCACTCTTAGATGTGGCCTCGTGGGAGGTGGTGTGTCACTGTGGGGGTGGGCTTTGAGACTCTCCTCCTAGCTACCTGGGAGACAAGTCAGTCTGCTCCTGGCTTCCTTTGGAACAAGATGTAGAACTCTCAGCTCCTCCTGTACTATGCCTACCTGAATGCTGACATACTTCCACCTTGATGGTAATGGACTGGACCTCTGAACCTGTAAGCCAGCCCCAATTAAATGTTGTCCTTTATATGAGTTGCTTGGTCATGGTATCTGTTCACAGCAATGGAGACCTTAACTAAGATAATACCATATAGGCCAAATACAGCACCTCCCTATAATTCATAATTAAATTAGGGCTGTGGTTTCATGACTACTGGCAAACCAAGAGAGATTTATTTACTTTTTAATATTTTTTTAATTTTTGAAACATTCACATATGTAGATTTTAACCATATTTACCCACTGCTCTCTGCTCCAACTCCTCCTGGCACTTCCCCTTCATAATCCTCTCCCAACTTGATGTCTTCTATTTTTTATCACCTACTGAGTCCAATTAGCATTGCCCATATATCCATGGACCTGGTGCCATCCACTGGGGCACGATAAGGGAACGCATCTGTAAAGAAAACAGGCTTTCTCTCCCCTGGCAGCTGTGCGCTGTAAGTCGCTCCTCAGCTCTGACTGGAGGCTCATGTACTTCTCTCCTAGCTGTGTTGGAGTGATGAGCAGCTCAGTTGTATGCAGGTGTTCACAGCTGCTGTGAATTTAGTGTGTGACAGTCTGGTCCTGTGGGCTAGTCTTCCCCTGCTCTTAAAGACCTTCCACCCTAAAGCAAGAGAACTTTCAAAGGTATTTCTGATACACTGTTCTGTTACCTCTGTAGGAAGGAGATACGGTTTATGGGTGGAAATACCTGTTGTAATTTTAATAGAGAAGAAAGGATAAATAGGAAAGGAAATTGGGTATAAAAGCCCAAGATTTTGGTTGGAGTTAGAATTTCTGACAGAGTTTCTTGTCAATGAGGACTTGTGATCACCAAGGGCAAGCATGCATGAACTGAAGGCTTACTATTGACCCTATGCTGTGCCATTTTAGTTGTTTTTTGTTTTTTTGTTTTTCCTGAAGAGGAATTAAACTTATTGGCTGCCTGTACATAACTATTGAATAAATATATTGCAAGGCATTTGGTTCATAAACTACTTTGGATTGTGATTTATCTATAGAATTGAAAGAATCTTTATTAAGCAGTTCAGAGTATTCTTCGATACTTTTAAAAACTATCTAAAAGTCAGGTGATTGCACATGGTCGATGTTGGTTCTGTCAGCTCCTGTCAGACCTCCACCCAGACAGTGTGGACCCGAGACAAACGTATTCCTTCAGTCTGGGCCCAAGGTGAAGTAGATTCGGTGCCTTTATACCTGCAGAACAAAAAACATGCTGAGAGTCCTGGTTTAACACTCAACCAGAAAGAAACATATAACAAATGAGAATAGCCATTGGTTGAGTGTCCTAGTGAGTCCAGCACTGCTCCATCCTCTGTACCTGTCCTATGAGGGACTGTCCCTTTGCTGCCTCCATTTAGGTAGCTGGGAGAAAAGGACCAAATGTTAATGTATCATAAAAAGAACGATGGAAAAAAGACGGTGCTTATTTGAGGCAGGAAGCTATTGCAGGGTATTAGGAAAAAAAGGACACAGTTTATCTCTTCTAGGACCCAGAGACTAATTCTTGCTGCTAAACCAAAGCTGAAAGGCCATTCATCAGACTCACTAGTGTAAAATAATCCCTAAAATTACATAAGTCACTGAAAGCAGAAGCCTTTGGAGCGCTGCCATCTCATAACCTTACATGGCATGCTGAATTTGTTTGAAGCTATAAAAAATGGATAAGTTTAATTAAACGTAATTAATTTTGTTATGCAACACTTGAAATACCCTGAACATGAAGTAATCTCTGAGCCTTGATACCAGAGGCTGCCAAAGGATGCAGATGTCCCTGTGAGGTGGTACTACAACCAAGATCTGAAACTCTGCTTTGAATCACTTAAGACTAAACATAATCCTGGTAAGATTCTCTTCCACTGCCTCTGGTTTTCAGACAGCCTAGGTCAAATATGTTTCTCACCATATTATCTGGTGCCTGCTGATTCAGCAATGCCATCTAACCGTTCATTTAATATGTGGGAGACACTGTTGGAGAAAGCTTTACCCAAATAGACATATTAGACAAATTTTTGTTCTCAACTGAGATTTAGGTACTAAGAAAAAAAATTCACAGGACAGAACAGGGAGTATAATGATATGCAAGAAAATTAAGCTCACGTTATGAGTTGAGCAAATAGATAAATGAAGGAAGATGGTCTCAGAAAGATAAAGAATACATGCCCAAAAGATCTGTCTAGTAGAGGTTCTTGGGAGGCAAAGCAATGTAAAGAATTATGGTTAGGGCAAGGCCTGCCACAATGACTCGTTTTTATGAAGTGGAAACTTCTAGTTTCTTTGGAAAGTTAGTTCTGTCAAATGTTTTTCTGGAGCACACAGGTGAAAGGATGTTTGGATATAGCAAACACGTGAAAGGACACTTGATGAAGGAGTAGAAACATGACACCACAGACAGTGGGAGAGGAGCACTGAGCGTTGGTTTGGTGTTTTCCACCTCACTATTTTTTTTTTTTTTTTTTGGTAACATGCATGTATTAGTTCGACTTACATCGTAGTGTTGAGCTCAACTCATGGTAACACAGCCATTGAGAGAAACTCGCCAGAGAATTGCTTGTGAGGTTCCTGAGGCAGCTTGCTACTTCCATGGTCTTGCCTCAGGCTAGTTGGCGAGCCTGGCTGTTCCTTCAGGATTAAACTACAGCTGCTGGTTCATGCCTGGTGTCTGCCTTCTGAAAGTACTGGACTGAAACTGTTGTTTTGTGCCTGGTGTCTGCCTGCAGAAAGGACTGGACTGTAGCTGCCAGTTTGTACCTTGCATCCGCCTGCCTAGAGGACTGGTCTGCTGCTCCTGGGTCATATTTGGTGTTTGCTACAGGACTGAACTGCTGCCAAAGAAGATGGAACTTGCCCCCAAAGAACTATTGCTGAACAGGTCCACTTCCCCCACATTCTAATAACTTTTTTCTTCCACTACCTCTGCTGGGTGGTGAGCTAGAGGAGAGGTTGAGCCCTTATTAAAAGCAGGTTGCAAAAAAAGTATGCCTATATCTTTATTCAACTTGATTGGATTGAGAAGCTTCTACTTAAGTTAAAGCATACCTCTTGGTGTGCCTTTGAAGATGTTTCCAAGGGTGAATAGATTATTAGTCATTTAAATGCATTGATAACATTTAAAATTTTAACTCTTGGGATATAGTAGAACTGCAGACGATGAGATCTTTTTAGAAGTAGGTCTCTGGGCAGGTCCTGGCCTCTTCCTGTTCAAATGTGACTGCTGTGCCATGATGTGAGCTCCTCTGTGGTACCTTCACATCAGGATGGACTGGAACCTTGCAAAAGATGAGCAACATAAATTATTTCTTGTTTCTGTTGGACATTTGCTCACAACAGCAAAACTAACACACCTCCTGACTCACTCCTGCATTTGACATTTTGGACCCTAAAACTGACTCTATAGTATTTGTGTTCATGAAGCTTGATAAGAGAAAAATTCTGCAATTTTCTAACATTAAAATTAGAAGGCTTTATGGATAGAAGGGGAATAAGACTGGGGAAATGGCAAAAGATGATTTTACATTTCTTGAATGTATGCTAAAACCTAAACCCACACCTTGTTTACATCATGAACCCATCCAGAAACCATGGCTTCTCCATGCTCTTTTTGCAGTTTTTCCTTCACATAACCCTATCCTTCCTTGCTATAGTCAGTGAGGGTTCAATGCAAGCAATGTATACCTTCCTCTACTCTTTTAATAGAAAACGTTCCTTTTTCTTTTGATCTAACAGATACTTCCAAATACTACTCACCTGTACAGCTGGGAGCTCTGGAATCCTGTCTCAGAAGCATTCCTTTTGGGAATAGCATCAGTAATGGTTCAATAAACTATTTTATTTCCAGGACCCCTTATTCTCAAGAGTAACAAGCTAA